AGTGCACGGGGTGCTGCCCGCCCTTTTCCCTGCGCTGCCGCGGTGACGTGAAGGTGACCGAGGGGTGCGGTAGCACCAGGAAGGGTGTCGCAGGGGCACGAAGCCCCCGAGTAGAGCCACTTCTTGCACCACTCTGGGTTGTACCAGCAAAGCAGTCCCGGGGCGGCAGGGGAATGTGGGGAGCATCGTTTCCAGGGCTCCCACACTCCATCCCCCTCAGGTGCTGGGGGACAGCTTCCCTCCACCACCACTTTTGGGCTTGTCAGCCCACATAAATTTGCCGAAGAGCCACTCTGCCAGCAGAAATGTGCCCCCAAGCCTCTTGAGGCCATACTGGGCACATGCAACATCCAGCCCAGCTTTCCCAAAACAGGGTGAGGGTCTCAGCATCCCTATACTGTTGGAGCTGCTGATGCTTTCAACCTTCCTCCCAAAATAAGCCCAAACCTGGCTGTCCCAGGGAGGCTCAGCCGCACAGATGCCTACGGCCCCGAGCTGCCCAAGGGCATGCGGAGGTCACAGCTGGCACCAGCACTGCCGTATCCATGTGTTGCAAACAGGCCGCAGAAAGCTGCTCCATTGCCCCTGCCGTGGTGGCAAACCAGGCTTAGCTGCATCAGTGTTGCCCAAAGCCACCACCTCGAGATGCCCTTGGGAAGCCACAGCCCTCATCAGGGTTTCGGCTCAGCCGAGTCCTCCTCCCTCTGGCCCTGCCAGCGCTGGAAGCTGGTCCTCATGCTGGAGACAGGGGACAGCACATCCTCTCCCCCCCATCACCCCTCTCCCAACCTGGAGAAAAGAAGGCTGCCTGCTGCCGGAGTCTCAGGATCTGATTTTAATTCCAAGGTGGCTTTGATAGGTGGGAAAAAGGCTTTGTGGCCCTCTCTGCCTCGTAAAGCTCACCTGGGGTTAGTACAGCTTATCCTACCTACACGCTGATCCTGGTTCAAGCAGCAAAACTAACCTTTTCCCTTCCTAAGGACATTATTTAGCCCGGATCCTGCCCAGCTTGGCATTCGCGCTTATCCGTGCCCACCCAAAGGGCTCTGGTGAGGGGTGACCTTCCTGTCGGCTGTCCCCTCTGCTGCAGAAATTTGAGTCAGGAGATGGTGATACTCCCCTTGGGTTTTCCAGAATTGCAGCCTCCCATGTGGCTGGGTGGGCGCGAGGGGCACAGCGTGGCACGGGGAATGGGCAGGAGCCTGGGGGCTCCTCTGCACTGCAGGCGTTGCACTGCTGGGGGGCAGCCCCAGCCCCTCTCTTCCAGGCTGCAGTGTCTGCGTCCCCTCCATGAGATGGGTCCATGCCCAGTGGCCATTCTATATAGGAAATCAGTTTTCAGGCTCAAAAAGGCGGTCACTATCCTCAAGCAGAGAGTCTGGCCCCTCTTGGAGCCCATAATAGAGGTCATCCTCCTCCCTGGTGCCTTTTCGAGGGTGCTCTTTCCCCGCCGGCGAGCTGGTCGGGGTGCAGCTGGAGCGGGCGGCAGATGACGGGGAGGGTCGGCCCTGTGGCACGGGGCTGCCGGGTACAGACCCCTCCAGCGATGGCGTGTCCATGTCCTCCAGTAGGGATGCCAGTGGTGCGGTCCTCGGGGCTGGTCGGGGGGAGCTGTGGGAACAGGGAGGGCTGATGGGCAACACGGGGGTTACACTAACCACAGCTGGGCTGGAGCTGGGTTTTCCCCTGGAGCTGGTCGCTGCTGGACCCGGCACTGGGCTTGGCGTTGCTCAGTGTCCCAGCATCCCCGGTCCCCTTTATGGGAACACTCCACCTGCCAGGCTCCCCCTCTCGGATGGAGCAGCAGCTGCCCTCGCACGCTGTGCCCACACCCCAGAGAGAAAGCAAAGCCACCCTGTCTCAGTCGTAGCTGCCCTTTGGCAGAAGGGGTGCCCAAGGACTGCGCCTCAAGGCTTCATGGTGACCTCCATTGTCTGCGAAGCGCTTTTGGGATCTCCTGGACCGACGCATGGGCATCATACATGGCATCTGGTTTGAGGGACGTGTACTGAGTGTCCCATTTCTGTCAAAGTCCGAACAGGAATTTGGGATTTGTTCTGGTGAGGGGCTTTTTTGTTTGTTTGTTTATCAAACCAAATAAAAGCAAAATGCCAATTACAACCACAGGCAATCCCAATTTCCTCCTGATTTCACCCTGGTAAATAATTTGGTCCTGGGACACTCCATGGGCTGACACACTGTTTGGGCTCCAGTGAGTCTAGGGGGTGCAGGGATGGCTGGGTGCTGTGCCAGCAACACAGACCCCTTTGCCTCCTGTCCCATCCTCAATGCCGGGGGTCTGACCCCCCAGTTTCACCCCACATCCCACCAGTGCCACTTTGACCCCGCAGGCATCACGTACCAGTTGCCTGCTGATGCTTCCAGCCGAGGCACCGTCTCTCGAGGGTGGTCCCCAGCAGCCCCCAGCTCCCGGTGGACCTCTGCTGTTGCCTGCATGGCCGGCTGGGAGCCACTGCCAGGGCCAGGCTGGGCCACAGGTGGAGGAAAGGCCGAGTCCACCGCCTGCCTCTGGATCTGCTCATAGGATGGCAGGCTTTTCTCGTAGGTGTTGGTGGCCTCTTGGTTGGGGCAGAGGGTAATCAAGCTGCGGAAGAAGGAGGAAAAGGGTGCTGAGCAGGACCTGGATCCCCACAAAGCCAGGAGATGCTCACAGGGATGCACACATGGGACTTCGTTAGGAGCTTTAGAGGCCACATCGCTGCTGGCAGCCAGCAAGTCCTTCTAGGAAGGCAGCTGGATGCTTTGCACCCCCCAGCATCATTCAGGCTCTGGAGCCGGACGGGGCTCAGCCAGCCCTCGCCTCCCCCACCCCAGCCCCAGCTTGTCATTTTTTGCTGCAATAAGCGCGGTTGTCCCCAGTGCCGGTGGGCTCTGACGCTGCCCTCGTCCCCAGGGGCGCGCAAATAACCGTGGGTGCAGATGAAAATCCCCTCCAAAAGGAAACCGGGCGCTGGGACCTACCGGGTGTCCTTCTCCGGCAGCATGATGGGTTTGTGATCCAGGTACCGCTCGGCCTCAATGTCCGCAGGGACAAACGTTATCTGGGGGAAAAGGAACGCAGAGCCCAGGGGGCTGTGCTGGGCATGGCCGGGACCCTCGGCCCTCGTCAGTGGGAAAAAGTTCGAGGTGTCCCTTTAGCTGGGGTTTCGGACTTTTACCAGCACCTTTGGATGTCTTGCTTGGAAATGAGTTTTTTGGGGGGAAATCAATAAGGGATTGAATGAATCCAGCACGCCCCGGTCTCAGCACCTTGTCCTCACTGAGGTCGTGCATGTCCCCAAGCCTGAGGAG